AAGACATCAAAGTAGTCCATGTGACACCAGTGGGTTAGTTAGAATGTTTTGAAGCATCGAAAAACTACGACTTTATTCAGCATTGTATTCTCTTATGGTTCTGTTGTCAAGCCGCGTCAATTAATGACATCTTAATTTTTGGGTGAACTAACCCTTTAATTATAAATTTGACTGATTTTGAAATCTGTTTTAACCTTTTTTTTTATCTCTTGCTCTCTGCTCATAGGATGATGGCCTGATGGACTGGTGGAAAACTGTTGAGGGTGAGTTGGGTCAAATTTTAAACACAATATTAGGGGTGTGACGGAAGGGACCGGTGTTATGTATTCGGAATAAAAATGATGAGTAACAGTAGTCACTACAGAACATAAAATATTCATTTTATTTTATGTTTCGTGTTCGCATTTATTTTATGTGAAAAAAAAAACTATGTTACGGATGTGACAGGTCTGAAAGCGCCACTAAAAGACGCGTCACATCTCACAGAGTAAAACATTCACAGAGACATCAAACAGAACGCACAAAGTGAATTTCATTTTCTATTAATTGTAGCTTAATTTTAATCAATGTTTCATCAACCAATTGCCAATGCCTGGATTTAATAAATAAGAAGTAAATATAGCAGATGATAGATAATTACAAAACAGAGGCACCGGCGCGTGAACACATGGTGAACATGAAAACAAACTAAAAGTCCATGATAATGAAACTAACTGAACATAATTTGACAGTATGCCAATGAAAGACGACAGAGCCAATCAGTGTAAGTATGGGGAGGAGCAAGACATTCAAGCCCCGCCCCATTCTGTAGGCTGCAGCCAGGTCCTTCTCACAAAAAATTGAATCTCTCATGTCTCAATAAGTGCAGTTCACCTTTATTCCTCAAGGTGACAATGTCTGCTACTCAATGATGACATGCTAATGATTCATAATTACCTCAGGCATAAAACAAAAGAATACTCAAGTATGTACACAAGTATACACAACATGTTCAGCTGCACAGAGCACAATGTAATGCTAGAGTATGTTGTATAAATTTAACCATTTTAAACTTATCACAGCATCTTAAAAAAGCATGTCTTAATGACAGAATATAACATGATGCATTGGCCTATAACAGCCATGTTGTGTGTTTGTAGCTGCAGTGCACTGCTAAAAATATAAAATAATGAATAACTACTTGTCCTCACTAATTTCATATGACTTACTCAATTTTGACAGGTTGGACTGAATGGAATGAAACAACAAATTTTCAGGAAGATAAGCAGGAGCTGTGAGTAAATGTGGATTTAAAAAAAACTGTCTAATTGTCTCCCATGACCACTGATCTGTTTTGTTAATGTTTGTCTCTCAGGGCTGTTGAGGCTGTTGCAGACCGTGTGTTCATGGCAGCCCGTCTCTTTGTCAGTTTGTTCAACCAGCGTGGAGCCTCTCTGCAACGTCGCATTGTGGAGTTGCTTGCACTAGCGGACACTGCCGACAACTTCCATAAGAAGACCGTGAGCGCAGCTGTTGGAGGGGGCGTGGCTTGTGTGGCTGGGGGCATAGCCACCATCACTGGCCTCATATTGGCACCCTTTACTTTTGGCACCTCTACTATCGTTACTGCGGTAGGTATCAGTGTGGCAACAGCTGGGAGCATCACCTCAGCCACAGCTAACATTACTGATGCGGTTCAATCCAAAATGGACCGCAAGAAGGTGGAGAAGATGATCCAGGGTTACCAGAATGAGATCAATGACATCAGAGATTGTCTGGATTTCATGCAAGTATGTTTATCTATCTATCTATCTATCTATCTATCTATCTATCTATCTATCTATCTATCTATCTATCTATCTATCTATCTATCTATCTATCTATCTATCTATCTATCTTGTCTGTTGTGTATGTAGGAAGGAATGAACACTCTGCAAGAATGGGATTTTAAGGAGTACTCTGAGAGTGTGGTCAACACAAGACTTAGCCGTAACATAAAGCATGTGATGAAGGAAGGTGGGCGAGCAGGTAAAGCCCTCATGATTAACACTGATAGGCTTATCAGCACTGTGAAAGTTTTAGGTGTTGCTGGTGGAGCTGCCAAAGCCGCCAAGGCCATCAGTATCACCACAGGGGTCATGTCCACTCTCTTTCTTGCCCTGGATGTCTTCTTTCTTGCCAAAGACTCCAATGAACTCCGCAAAGGTGCCAAGACCAAATTTGCCTCTAAGATCCGAGAAGTATGCAAAGAGCTTCAACACGGCCTGCTGGAACTAAACAAAGTGAAGACTCAGCTACAAAAGACCATGGATGGAATTGAAGTGGAAGAATATGAAGAAGAGGAGGAGGATGAAGACAAATGTAAGTCAGATCCTATTAAACTGGCTCTACTTGAGCAAGAACTTGATCAGTTGGAGGAGAAACTTGACCAGAAAACTACACCGGAGCAAATGAACAAAGAGACCACAAAAAAGAAATGAGTAGTCAAAGAGCAAAAAGCAATTATAAAAATGAGATTAAAAAAGTCTTAACAGTGAGCTAACACATGGAAACAACAAAAGCAGGATGGTTGGCAAATCGAATTCAAAGATTTGAAAGGAAAATAGCAAAAAAACTAAAATGAGGAGGAACAATGAAGTTGATCTGGAAAGACCTGGAAAGATGTGGAATGAAGAAAAAGGAGACTTGGCACAGGGGTCTGATAGCAGATTATAAGAGGAATTTAACACATCTGGGTTAAAGAAACATAAAGGGGATCATTTAAGTGAACACAAGGAAGATAAGAAGTATTGAAACCCTTGTGTATTCTTTAAAAAAACACAAAAAACTGACAGGATACACTACAGTATACGTATATTGAGAAGTAAGAGAGAGGAGGAAGAAAAACAACTATTGCATTACCAGATTCATGTTTAAGTTTTAAGTAATGCTATGTTTTAGACTTCTGATTCTGTCTAAATCAAATGTTTTCGGTGTGCTACACGGATCAAAATTGCAATTGTAATTTAACCTGAAAGTGTTAAATATATGGCGATCACCTTTCAGTATATCCAGAAAAAATGTCTAAATTAATTTCTATATTTAGTTGTGTGCTTAGAACAAACCACTAAACTTTGATGTTTAAAGGGATACTCCACTTTTTTGGGAAATAGGCTCATTTTACAACTCCCCCAGAGTTAAACAGTCAAGTTTTACCATTTTCGAATCCATTCAGCCGATTTTCTGATATTTAGAACAATATCAGTAACCAGACAGTTTCTGGTCTCATTGACTTGGAAGTTGGTCTACAACTTGGAGTTGTAAAATGAGCCTATTTCCAAAAAAAGGGGAGTATCCCTTTAAGATATATCAGTACATTCTTGTCTTGCAAGCAGTATAAATAAATTCTAGAGAATTAGTCTGAAAAGCAGACCAGTGTAATGGTCTTAAAATCTGGACTGATAGTATAAGTGTTGAGTCAGAAACTTTACTCTCAACCTCATAAGCGTGACCTGTAGCCTATAATTGAGATTTTTAGAATTCCCTGGTGTGGTTTTGAACACACACAAACAAAAAAATTTGTTTGTTTCAGTTCCTTTAACGTTATTTATGGGAAGCATTCTTTTGTGACTACATTAATGAAAAACCTTAAACCAGTGCTGGTAGTGTGCACTAAAGATTAGGTGTTGGGGGGGGAAAAGCATTTCAATATTGTGGATTTAACTCTGGGATATACAGGTGTCATACATTTGTATTCTGATCCTATTTCATCCCCTCAAGTTTTTATGCATCATAGTTGTAATATATCTTTGACAAGTTCTGTATTATTTATTTTTGTACATATTTTTTAATGGCTGCACTTTTTACTTTAAAATGTTCCACTAGAGGTTTTGTATGGTTCTCTTTCTATGGATTTATGTAATGCATAAAAGTGGTTTATAAATATAATATGCAGACTCTGCACTAGCTGTGTGTGCATTCATTTGTTTTGGAGAGCACTCTGAAGGGAGAGGGATCTTATGCTTTAATGGGGTCATATGATGGTACATGCACTTTTTCAAGTTGATTGTACTGAAATGTGTGTTGGCAGTGCCAGTACACAACCATCATATAATGATAAAAATCTATCCATTGTTTTTGTTTTAATCTTATAAGTTTTTCCCCTGCCTCAACTCGAGCCGTTCAACCGTGTGATGTCACATGGTTGGATGCTCCTCCCATGATTGTTGATTGACAGCACCAATGGGCTTTATGCACAGCTGCACTACTTCATGAACTTAAGCCAGCTCCTTGTTTCCTGTCTGCCATTATTGGTCAAATTGATTAATCCAGGTGTGCCTGACCTCAGTAGTCACGGCAACAATAATCAGACACACCTGAATTAGTCAATTTGGCCAATACTGGCAGACAGGAAAGAAGGAGCTGGCTTAAGTTCAGGAAGTAGTGGTGCAGCTGTGCATAAAGCCCATTCCCGGGAAAACCACGGACTTGGCAACACTGCCTAAGATTGATAGAAAGAAAGAGATTGCCCTCTACTGTTCAAATACTAGTATAGGTTATTATAGTTTTTAAACACTATCAGACTAGTATCAGGCGTCATCATCTCCTCTACAAGATTTTAAGTTGTATGACTCCATTCACCTCCTGTCCTACACATATCAGCACCAAACACAAGTAAATGTGCATTCTTTAGATGATTAAATTATTTAACTATTAACTGTAAATCATTAAGGGACAGCCACAATAAAACTCAGCTATGAACTAGGCAAAAATGCTTTCTATTTGGGGTTATAAGTAAGTGGGAACATCTAATAATTACTTCCTTTTTTACCATTCATTTCACTTTACTCCATATTAACTACTTTAGATCGAAGGTTAAAAAAACACTAGACTGCAATAGTAGCAATAATTATTGTCGTTGAAATATACATTTTCACTGAAAAATGTAATATGTTTGATGAAGAAAAGGGAAACTAATGTTATATAATGTTCTTCACTTTATGTAACCATCCACTTACTGCCCTTAGTACATACAATTCAGGTCAGGACATACAATTCTTTTTATTGAAGCAATGAGTCACACTGAAAAAAAAATGTAGGATAGAGCACTCAAGCACACATGAGCACACACAGAGAAAGAGAAGAAAAGAATACAGGAGGAGATAAATGTCTGTCCAACAGTAAAATGTGTCATAGGCTACTTGATATAAAATGTACAGAATAATAACAGAAGTATTCAATAATTGCCTTGCCAGTGGTTATCTGAAAACGATCAAGCACAGATGACATTTGCATCACACCTATCTCAATGCAATTACAGACATCATTTGTCCCATTAACTGCAAGATAATCATGAGTCTCTATATACTGCTCTAATTTTTACGAGCTATTCTGAGATATCTGTGGAGACCACTTTAATTATAGGGGAACGAGAAAGATAAAGACACTTAAAATAGATCAAAATGTTACACTTTCCTTGATAATCATCTTCATTTGAGTCAGTCTCCAAAAATTTTAGGATCTCACTGCATGCCAGTGACTTCTGGCATTGACGCAAAAATGAAAGGAATTTATGCTAATGATTTAAAAAGTTCTTGACCTTGTGCTAAATTCAGCTAGCAATTTAACAGAATAGAATATTAAACTTGTCCATTTTACATTTATTTCAAGCCATTTGCCTAGTTTAATAGGGCTAATTTTAAACTTCAGTGTCTTGATCAAATCCCTGTCTAAATATGCAAGATATTGCTATTATTATTATTCTGAGAATGTCAGGTTATGACATTTTTTCTGTTATTAAATAATCATTATTTGGTCTGCTGTTGATATGAAGATTTCTTATTTTTTTTATCACTTGAACAACAACAACAGAACAGCCATTCACCTCCTGAATAGATTTACAACTAAGCTATTTCATATTTATAATACTGATTCATGGCAACATGTTTTACTCTGTAAGTGCAGCGCAACATTTGGCCATTTACTGCCCGTTTAATATCACTTACATTTGTTCTCTTGCATCGATGATGAAATGACAGATGTGTGTTGCACATGCAACTGACGTTCCTATATTTATGCCTACAGGAGAGGAGAAGGATGGAGACGAATATAGTGAGAACAGAATCTGCCATGTCTTTTAAAGTGAAAATCTTTCCCTATTCGTATGTCCTAAACTCTAATCTACCCAGCATGTTGATGCCACAGGGCTATCATTTGTTTTCCAAACCCCTAATTTCCCACCCACACTTGACTTTCCTCTGTCTCTTCTTTGTTTATTCTCTTTCCATAGTGAATATCGTGGAAGGTGTTTTTGTCCACCGATTCTCTTGTTCAGGCTTCCCTTTTACTTCTTTTTCTTCTGGAAGCGTCTAAACTGATTCTGTATTGCCAAAGCTGCTTTCTCTGTTTCCGGCGCCTCCAGATCAATGTCGATCTCTTCTTCGGGTTCTTGTGTAGGGGGCTTCCCCTCTTTGTCCACCGGTTTCTCCTGGGTGGCTGAGGGACACATTGACAACATTAAGGGCATAGTGAAAGGAACTGCAATATTTTTTACATTTTGTGAAGCCATGTGTGTCTGCGTCCCAATTCAGGTCTTAAATGATGTTAATTGTTATAAATATAGGCTACTTACAGCAATTGTTTACATTTTCATACCACAGAACATTAAAATATGTCTTTTTTTTCGAATATCTTTTAGCAGACAGTGTATTTTCATGATTAAAAATTAGACGTTTCAATGTTATGATAATAAAAAAAAAACCTTTTTAACATTGAAATTTGTTTCGATGTTAAAACGTTTTCTTGTATCTCAGCTTTCAGAGACAAATATGAGACATTTAAGTATGATGTATTTTTTGTAGACCACTAGTATTTTAGCACTTCCGGCTCCATCGTCCCAAAGTCAATGGGTTTTTAAAATGGGTGTTTGATTAAATTCCTGAAATAATGTGTGTTCTGTGCTTTCACATCTTTTTCTTTGACATAAAATACATTCAGTAACACTTGTGTTAACAAAGGTTGTCGGGAATATCATCAAGACGAAAAACATCTATTCACTATAGGCTGCTTCTACAGCCTCAATGTGTTAATTATTAACCCTCTTGCAAACTATTCTTATTTTTTATGATGCTTAATAGTGGTGACCATGGTGTAGTCCGTTTATAACATATATTTGTTTTTTTTTTACTGTTGGTGATTGTATTTAGGCTTCAAAATTCATAAAATTTCTGTTGGTCGGAGCCTGAGGAAAAAATCCGGGTTTTGTTGAGGGAACAAGGAAAACAGCTTTGGTGGAGAACAATATGTGAGAATTTTTCAAGAAGTAAATCATGAAAAAAAAAAAAGAAATGCTGTAATGGAACACACAAACACACCTTTTCCATCTGTGGCAGGCCCCTGAGTGCGGTTGGGAGGATCAGATGAACTGTTCTGCAAAAAAAGAGACAGCAGCTTTCAGGTTTGTGGTGCGAGCATTTAGACATGCAGTAAAAACTAAAATCATAACATCTGTGATTTTTTTATTTGGTCTGCCATCACATTAAAAACTGATATGGGTTTTAACATGTGTGTTAGGACACTGAGCGACAAAGACCCCTTAATCCCCATCGGTTTAATCCCCCTTTTTCAATTCTGTGTGCAATCTGGAACAGAGGCACTCATCCCTGGAGAGGATCCCTATGACATGCAAGCTTAATGTGTGTGTGTGTGTACTTCATGTTATATATTTCTTAAATTAATTATCCCTGTTAACATTTGATAGAAGTACGAGGTTATTAAATGTTTATGTTTCGGAGGCACACAGTGTAAACTACTGTCTTGAGGCCAAAAAAAAAAAAAAAAATACATTCAGTACATCTGTGACCTTGCTTTTCAATTATGAGAACAAATTAGCCTTGGGATGATGCCCTAGATTTGAGTTATTCATATTGACAGCCAAAATGTGTCAGTTTGTGTTCATGTACTTTTGTGTAAATCCTTTTTAAATGAGTAATTTCAGCAATGAATTGTCATTTAAATCTGAGAAAAACTGTGATGTTTGCTTGAAGCAGCAGATATACTGTAAATACTTCACATATTTTATTTTGAGAACAGAAAATGTCATCAAGGGAGATTAAATGGAACATTAACACACAGACACACTCACATATACACATTTTATTCACTCTCTCTCTCACTGCAAAGGACTCTTTCAAATGCAAATCGCTGCAGCCCTTTCCCCGTTAAGCCTTTTTTTTTTTTTTTGGAATGAAAGAGCATCTCCACCTTACTCTGAACTCTGAACCGCAGCCTCCTCTCTCCAGGAAGTTTTAATGCACTATATCCACCACCACGTTCTGTGAGCTGTCAGATAAAATCTCTTTGAGCATAAAAACGACAACTTTTGTCTCGTGTACATGCCATTCTGTTGTTTTTCTTTTCTTAATTTGCCAAAAGTAGGTCATATGAGTATTATGGAGACTTCACACTTCTGGCTTTCACACTTAAAAGACATGGGGGGAGAGAGAGAAAGATCCCGCATGCTGCCAGCTGGCTCTCCGTGTGTTAGCCATTACTTTTTCTCTTCTACATTACCTCAGACAGCACTTTTTTTTTCCACTCTCACACACATCACTTGATACACACAAGCCTCACGGCACAATCTCCATCTGCTAATTAGCCAAGCTCATATCAGCAAGGTCAAGCTCCCCTGAGCCACTTATTAATTGGCAATTAATGGGACACACAAAAGAATGTAAAGCATCACTTTAATTTTAAACTAGGAATTGAGTAAAACGCACTGTAATATGCATTGCATAAAGAAGAATATAGGCTACATTGCCCTATAAGGAAAAGGTTATTGCTCATGACGAGAAATTAGAGATGGGTTTACTAACGTTAAGCCATCTTTATGAATGCAACTTGCATGATTCAAAGGATTTAAATTATTTAATCCTTTTTTATCTCAACAAAAAAAAAAAAAATTTATATTGAATTGGACGTCCTAGATTCATATGTTATTAAATCTTCGAATTAACTTAAGTTAGTCGGGTCTGTCAGACAGTCTTAAAAATAACAAATGAGAACTCACCTCACTCATAGTTCTTTCTGAGAAAATGTCCTTTTCGCTTTTAAAGGCTCAAAGAAATATAATCGGAATTTCACTCCTTTTTTTGGTCACAGTGCTTTAAAAATATGTCAGAACAACGGAACCGAGAATATTATGCAGAGGGCTATATCCAGCTCTCATCTAGAAAAAAACACACGCCCCTGCTCTCTCTCTCTCTCTCTCTCTCTCTCTCTCTCTCTCTCTCTCTCTCTCTCTCTCTCTCTCTCTCTCTCTCTCTCTCTCTCTCTCTCTCTCTCGCTCTCGTTTTGGTGTTGTTACAGTCTACGGTTCTAAAGGTCTTTTCACAGACTTTGATGACGCGTTTTAACGTTCATCAGCATCGTAAATCTTGCAAAGTTTTGTTTTCTTTTACTATTCTTTATATTTTTGACATTCTTACTTATTGTTGTGTTCAAATGTAGCTGTTTCCGCAAAGTCGATAATAATAATAATAATAATAATAATAAATATAAATAATTTTTATTTTGAATATGTTAATTGCTTTTAAATTATGATTATTAAATTGAAATAATTATTAATTGATTGTAGTATTAATTATTTGCATGTTTTATTATTATCATTAGTTAATCAAAATAATATTTTGATTAAATATAGCCAGATTGGGTCATATTTGTAATTGTACCCTGTTTTTTCTGTCTTTGGTTAGTCTGTTTATTTATTTATTTATTAAATTTTTTTTTCATTACTGATGATGATGAATATAATAATGATAATAACAACAACACTTTTTGTAATTATTTTCAAAATCCTATGAAATGCTCGTTTTTATTATTATTTGCATTCTTGATTATTATCATTCATTAATCCAAATATTTTTAGATATGGATATTGATCCATACTTTTACCTGTATAAATAGGCTGTTGTTGTTGTTGTTGTTTTTTTTTTTTTTTTTTACTTATGATGAATATGCAATTGGTATAATACTACAACTACTAATAATAATAATTATTATTAATACTAGCCTACTATTTAATAATAACAATAAAATGTTGCGTTTTGTTATCATTAAATGGCGGGGTCATAATCAAGCAAGCAACAAAACAAAACAAAAAATCCTCGAGTGAATTTTAGCGTGAACATAATTTATCAGTATCACATATATCAGTGTGTACAGTAATATTAATAAAGCGCCATAGACTTTCTCTCGCGCCGCTTTGTTTGTGGATCCAGACCAACTTCCGGAGAACGATCGTCTTGCCGGAAAAAGAAAGAGAAAAAAAAGGAAAGAGAAAGGGGGAAAAAACAGAAGTGCTAACGAAGGAGATCAGTCAAAACATAAACATTGCGGGCACGACCAAAAACGTGACCTTAAACTGCGGTGGTTTTTGGATCACCTATGCATGAATGTGTTCAGGGCACATCTCTCAATGTGTCGAGCTTTTGTTTGCGCGTGACTCGAAGGTGAAGGAAGGAAATCTGCGCAGAGGATTAACAAGTGCGGAGACTTTGGGCCTACAGCAGCAGAGGTAACACCGCTCGGTAGTTAGCTCTCCATTTTCTCGCTACGACCAATGTTTACATGTTGTCAGCTTGAGACAGCACTCATTGCAGAGCCATTGCTGACGCGCTGAACTCGAGTTTCTCCTGCACTTCTCCTACACAATATTTACTCGTCGGTACGTCTTTGTAATCTTAATAACAAATCTCTCTTTGTTCAAAACCGAAGAGCTACAATCTGGCTGCCAAGAGCCGTGCCTGCTTGCAAAAGTACCTAGCAGCTAGTCAAGCTATTTTTGACATGGGTAATACCACAAAAGCAATTGCTAAGATTAGTTAGCACACTTGCTAGTCGTTGCCAGTTTACTGCGCACTGTCAAGTTGTTATGTGGCATTGCCACTAATTCACGAACAGTACCAAACTGCTATGTAAGTGTCGTTTGCACTGCAGTTGGACTCAGTTGTTACTGTACAAGGTAATGGTTTTGGTATTACGATTAGAGGCAGGTGTTTACTATGCCAGCTATTTACCATGCGAGCAGGCTTATTTTGCCACCTTTAGCTGATGTCAGGGATCCTGTCAGCTCACTGGCTGGGTCAATCTGAGAGCTCAGCACCTTTTAAATGTGTCAAAATGGCAATGATGTCTTTTTATGTTCATCGGCTTGAAGAAATGCATTTTGATTAGGACTCAAGTAATCATTGACTATAGGATATACCAATGTTAAATGATCTTACAAGCATTCAATCAAGTTGTAAATAAAATATATATCGTCTTAACATAATCCAATGTAATTGAAGTAAGCTCTCTTCTCTTTTATTTCTTCAGGGTCTCTTCTGTTAGAAGAGATAGTCAGATAGAATGAGCGATACAGACGGCAAATCCAGTGTTCCAAATGGTGAGTAAACAACTTGTTTTAGCTTTCAGTTTACTGTCTTAATAAAGGAATAGTTCTCCCAAGAATTATGTTAATGTGGAGTTACAAATCCATACTGTGTGTAATATAAAAGAAGATCTTAGACAGAATGCCATTTTCTTCGGATGAGGACAGTAAACAGTGTTTTATACTGCCATGTTATCATCATATAATATTGTAAAATTGTCTTCTGAAGTATTGTAATAACTTCGTGTGAGAAATAGACCAACATTTCAGTCATTATTAACTGATAATGTTCCCTTCTCTGTGTTAGCTGTATTTTTATGACTTTACTGTCAGCATTCACGTTGTTTTATGTTCATAGTAGCACTGACAATATTCATAACATCTCATTTTGTGTTTCATGGAAGAAAGAAAATAAAATGGCAAGAGAGTAAAGAAAGTCTTGGGGGAAACACTCCTAATCTCTCATTATTCAAATGATGGCAAATACAGCTAATTCTTTTTGCCTGGGGCTTAATTTACCAGGTGGTTCTGATGATCCAGATCCTGGAGAAGGAAGAGGGGAGGCAGAAACTGCAGTGCCAGAGACCCAAAGCAGCCCTGAGTCAGGTATGGAAACAAAGTCCAAACTTTGTCATGCACATTTCTGTTGATAAATTTGGGGTCAGTAAGTCTCTTATACTCATTTATTAGATCGAAAATACAGGAAAAAAGTAATATTGTTAAATAATTTAATTAAAATTGAAACAACTGTTTTCTATTTTAAAATGTAATTTATTCCTGTGATGACGAAGCTGAATGTTCAGCAGCCACTACTTCAGTCTTCAGTGTCACATGATCTTTTCATAAATCTGTCTAACATGCTGAATTGGTGTTCATGATTTGTGCTGTTTCACAATGAATAAAACGTTTAAAAGAACAACATTTCTTTGAAATTGAAACCTTTAGTAACATTATAAATGTCTTTACTGTTACTTTTGTTTAATTTAATCCATCATCACTGAAGAAAAGTATTCAGTATTTATAGGAAAAGTCTTCCTGACCCCAAGCATCACCTTGACTGTGATATGTAAGGGTTAATGCCCGACGAGGTGTCCATTGTCAGGTTTTAATGGATGACGGCGAGGCGTAAACCGGCCGACGCGCAGCGGAGGACGGTTGCCTCCGCCGAAGTCCATTAAAACCTGACAATGGACACCTCGGAGGGCATTAACCCGCTTATACCATGGTCACTTGCCAAATAAAACATTTTTAAAACATTAGTTTATATTTTAATTAGGCTAAATCTAGTTTTTACAAATAATAACTTGCCTTGCCTGACTGTTTATTTTGCAACCGGAGATATTTAGCCTATAGTCCGCTTAGCTCGTATCCCTTCAGGTTCACAAATGCATTTTTTTTTTCATGAAACACAAAGGTAGGAATAGTTTTTTTTTTTTTATTACACATAAAACAATTAATCAAACAACAATAAAAAAACAATTAGCTCTGAGCTCCAGCGATTTGCGCTTAACGTTATAGAGGGCAATAAATTAATCAGATCAAAGAGAGGGTCATTTGCCTCAGGCTCCTTAGGCTTGAAACGCTGTAACGTTCAGCCTTCTCCTGCCTTGGTTGTCTGGACAGCTGCGTAAAACTCCCGCAGGGTCTCATTCAGGGGTGCGTTTCCCGAAAGCATCGTTATCCAACTATGGTCGCAAGTTACGTCGTTACCAATAGAGTTCAATGGAGCAGAGCAGCAGCGGTGTAATTTTCTCCGTTTTATTTACATTTTTTCTTTCTTCAGCAGCATACCAGTCGTCAAAGTTGCCATATTCTCCATAAATGTTAAAAGAAATAGCACGAAGTCGCTCATTGTTGTATTAGGCTATAATATCTAACGTTAGATGATAGAGCATGTGACTGCCTGTTGCTATGGTTACTCACAGCCGTTGTAGGCAGCGCATTTATTTATTCATTTCGAATGGTAAACAGGCAGTTTCACCAGAACTACTTTACTAGGTGTCCTCTATCACTTTTTAACGGACACCCTGCAGCCAATCAGAATCGAGTATTCACCCAGACCATGGTATAAATGTAAGCAATGCTCCACCAATTTTTCAAGTTTTCTCTTAACAGCAAATTTGAGTTCAGCTCCAGAGGGAAGTGAGGGTGGTCAGGACAGGCCCATGGCAGACTCTGAGCAGAAGCAGGAACTGGGAGAAGAGGAGGACACTGACAGCATGGATGGCAGTGGGTTGTACTCTCTCACTGAAGAAGGAGAGAGAGAGAGTGAGGGAGGAGGGAGGGGAAAAGATGAAAGTAAGAGATCCGCCAGGAAGAGGAATCGACCCAGCGGCGGTGCCACACATCACTCTTCCAGTTCAGACGACGATGATGATGATGATGATGAAGATGAAGAGGATGACGTGGAGGAAGAAGACGAGCAAGCCATGGAAGCGTGGCTGGGAGCAGATCTGTGCGACCTGAGTCGTCCTTCATGGTGCGCGGTCCCCTCTCTGCGTTCCCGAGAGATCGGCCGTGATTCGTACCAGTTTGCGAGGAGGGTGTGTGGGGCGCGGGGTCTGGTGCAGAGGCTGGAACTGCAGGGCCGTCTGGAGAGACACACAGGCTGCGTGAACACCCTCCATTTTAACCCCTCCGGCACCCGTTTGGCATCCGGCAGCGATGACCTCCGTGTGGTGATCTGGGACTGGGCTCGCAGGAAGGCGGAGCTGGAGTTTGACAGCGGACATAAGAGCAATGTCTTTCAGGTGAGGAAGCTCAGTTTAGCTGACTGCAGATGTCTGAAGCTCTAAAATTTTTCATTTCAATTAAAATAGTGGCACATTGATGGGAAAACTTGGAGAGGCACACACACAAGGCACTAAGAAAACCTTTTCTTGATGTTACTGAAGGTGACATTTAGGGCTTTTAAAACACAAGTAAGGCTTGTTTCTTTGAGTCTTATTTTGACACTACTTACTCAGGCTGATGTATGCGTAGTGTTTTATGATCAATACAATACACTGTTCAAAAGTATTTTGTGCTCATTCAAGCTGCATATATATATATATATATATTATAATATATTATTTATTCCAGTGATGCACAGTTGAATTTAAAGGGTAACTAAACCCCTGGTCAGAGCCTGACTCCACCCACTGGCAATATTTGAAAAACCCCAGTGGTTTTGACGAAACAAGCTGGTTTTTATACTGGCGCTCGTCGTATCAAGAGCGTGGTGAGCTGAAACCTGCGTACGTCACGAAGTGCGGAACATCCAATAGGAAAATTCAACTGCAGTAGCCACCGTTCAACCTGAAGAGGGCAGCACTAAGACGTTTTTACACCATATATTGTAGAAATAAAACACTTTATACACAAATGTCAAAAAAGTTACTCGAATCAATGACTGGTATTAATGAAGATCCATTCTTACAGATCATTAACTAAAAAAAGTTGGTTTAGGGTTTATTTACTCTTTAAGAGCCATTACTCCGTTATTCAGTCACATGATCCTTCTGAAATCATTCTAATATACCGTTATGGTGCTCAAGAAATGTTTCTAATGATGACAGTTGAAAAACCGGTGTGTGTGCTTAATATTTTTGTGGAAACAATGATATAAATTATTATTTTATATAGAATATTAAAAAAAGAAAATCATAAAAGAAATTTGATCAGTTTTAATGCAATAAAAAAAGTCTTATTGACCCCAAACTTTTGAACGGTAATGTTTTTAGAAAAATTTATAGTATATCTTCACATTAAAAACTATATAAAAGCTACTTCAATAGTTTAGCCCCAGTCCTGTAGGCTAAATTGGCCATAAATTTTGTTCAACTTATGTGTGATTTCTTAAATTTGTGTTGGGTATATTGGACAGAAACCTCGTTTTGTGTTAACCCTCTAAATGGGTTTTAAGTTCCATTGAACATCTTCGGTTCAGATGTCCAGAGTAAGATTTTAAAATGTAGAAATTTAAATCAGTGCCTCTTCAGTCCTTATTAATTATTATTCTGTCCCCAGGCAAAGTTCCTCCCACACAGCGGTGACTCCACATTGGCCATGTGTGCCAGAGATGGACAGATCAGAGTGGCTGAGCTTTCTGCTACACAGCGTTGCAAGAACACCAAAAGAGTAGCCCAGCACAAAGGTGCAGCTCATAAGGTATGATCATACTTAAAAGTTTTTTAATTGTTTATTTGATATGAATAATATAGATGACGGACTGAAATTAATCCGTCAACCAATTAGAATCAAGAATTCAAACATGCTGTGGTGCAAGAACAAAGCATAAGAGAAGACATAAAATATAATTTTCTTGTAATATCAGAACGGAAGTCTATTGGTTTAGGGCAGTGGTCGGCAACACAGGCCACAACTGGCCTGCCAGCAATAATATCTGGCCCACACCTGAGCTTGTATTTTAATAGAGGATAGTTCTAAAACATAGAACTATCTGAAATCGACCTGTCATGACAGCAACAGTTAATCACAATCACTACTTCTTTACTGTTTTTGCCTTAAAAATAATTGTACGAGAACAATTTGGAGATGAATTGAGAGTTTTTAATTTAACAAGTTCTGAAAGACATTCAGAAGAGTCTGTGGATCGCTTCATTGCAGATAAGACAAACCAGCTTTGCATTCACAAAACTAGGTAGGATGAACGCATAGTTGTCTTTCCAATCTTCTTTGAATGCCTTATTTTCACTGTCAACTTTCCTCTTTAGACTCTTTGATAGTGCCATTTTCTCTCACCACCAGCTAGCTTAAATGTTAACATCACTGCACACGATGTAATAGTGTACCTCCAGCACGTAAACAATTAAAAAAAAAATGCAGTTTTGTACGTGAGGATGCCAAGGAATAATTCTGACTGTAAAAGTAGGCTACGTCAAATAATAATTGCATTAAAGGAGTAGTTCACTTTTAAAAAAACATCTGCTGATAATTCACTTACCCCCATGTCATCCAAGATGTCCACGTCTTTCTTTCTTCAGTCGAAAAGAAATTAAGGATTTTCTCCATATAAAGGACTTCAATGGGAACCAAACAGTTCAAGGTCCAAATGAGAGTTTCAGTGCAGCTTCAAAGGGCTTTAAACGACACCAGACGATGAATAAGGATCTTATCTAGGACCCTTCGAGTCATGACTCGAAAAAAGATTTGTTCATTTTGATGAACGAGTTCGAACAGGAGAGTCACGAACGCTCATCACAGAACAGAACAGGGCGAGCATTTGTGCTTATAAAACTTAAACTTTTTTATTTATTTTTTAAATGACCGATCTTTTCGCTTGACAAGACCCTTATTCATCGTCTGGTGTCGTTTAAAGCCCTTTGAAGCTGCACTGAAACTCTCATTTGGACCTTGAACCATTTGGTTCCCATTGAAGTCCATTATATGGAGAAAATCCTGGAATGTTTTCATCAAAAACCTTAATTTCTTTTTGACTAAAGAAAGAATGACATGGAAATCTTTGATGACATGGGGGTGAGTAAATTATCAGCAAAAGTTTTTTTTAAAAGTGAACTCCTTTAAGTTAGGCTCCATCGTGTAAGAAGTAAATTAAAATGATACAAATGGAAAGAGGAAATAAAAGAGTTTGTTAAGAGCATGATGCCATTGAGAAAACCTTTTGAAAAAACTTATTTTCCAACCCCTGGTTTAGGGCAACATATAAAAAGGATTATACTCAAAGGGTGAGTATTGTACTACAAGAGAGATTTTATTTTCTCTCTCTCAGCTTGCACTGGAGCCAGACTCTCCCTGCTCTTTCCTCTCCGCTGGTGAAGACGCAGTCGTGTTCGGCATTGACCTGCGTTTAGACAGACCTGCCAAGTGAGTGCAAAGTCATGTCACACACAGCCGCCATAAGAGTGGCAGAGGAAAAGAAAATAAGCTCTTCAGCAGAGGGACAAAAGGGAACAGTATAAAAGTAATGCTATAAAACTAACTCATTTAGTAACTTCATGGTATACTCTCTACAATTCAACTGTTTGACATCAGTAAGTTTTATTTTTTTTATTAATAATTTTAAGCAATGGGAATAAAGACATTTCTAATGTTACAAAATATGTCTGTTTCAAATAAATGCTTTTCATTCTATTTATCAAAGAACCCTGAAAATATTTATCACTGTTTCCACAAAAATATTAAGAAGCAGAACAATTTTCAACATTGATAATAACAAGAAATATTTCTTGAGTACCTTGAAGACTGGAGTAATGATGCTGAAAAATAATAAAGGAATAAATTACCTTTTTAAAATATGTTAAAAGATCAAAAAATCTTACCGACCCCTAACTTTGATTTATATTGTATATACTTCAAAGTTATACTTTATATACTTCTGTATATACCTCTGTATAGCATTCTAATAGCAAGTAATACACCCACTTTATTGGAGTTAAATTGGATGTACTTGCCTGTAAAATCTAATTATGTGATCCCTCTTCTTCACATTTACTATAAAACATCACATATTTGGGTTAGCAATCCTAGAATTGCTCCTGACTGTAATATTTTTCCCTCAGCAGCTCAGATTTGAATGTGTTTGATATTCCGAATTGCCATTTTTCCTGATCCAGTTCCCATTTTCTTCTCTTATTTTTCTATGCTACAAAAATAAAAATGGCAAAAAGGCTAACAATTAAAAAAAAATCTTCTATCCTGAAGAAAAGAAAATATTTGGTCACATTAGTGAAATAAACTTTTAACAACCAGATTCCTCTTTACTGGCATCATGGAAAAACTATCTCTTTAAACTAAAACTTATAACAATGTTATTTTACTAATTTAGGTGGTATTGAGTATTAAGTCTGCATTGTTTTAGAGCATAGAATGGGTGTGATTTCATATGATACACTCTTGTTCTATATGAAGAATTAAATAATTGCTTTTTTATTCGCTCAGCAAACTGGTGGTGGTGAAGGAGGGTGAAAAGAAGGTTGGGCTGTATACCATTTTCGTGAACCCAGCCAACACGCACCAATTTGCTGTGGGTGGTAGAGACCAGTATGTCAGGTGAGACAAACATCTTTACTGACATGTCGTCTCCTCCTTTGCACCAAAGTCATGCTTCTGCGTATGTCTGTAGTTTTATGAGACTAATGAGTTTTGAAGTAATATCCAACGTTGTTTTATATCTGTCTTTTATATCACAAGCTGCTTCTGATGCAATTGTCAAACTTTATACCTGTTACAATTGTTTCTCCAATGGCACCCTGTCAGTAGACATAACTCTTGTACTGCATCACTGTTTCTCTCTTCCTGTTTTTGTATGTGATAGGATCTATGACCAGAGAAAGATAAATGAACACGATAATAATGGTGTGCTAAAGAAGTTTTGTCCCTCTCACTTGGTGTCCAGCGAGTCCAAAACAAATATCACCTGTTTAGTGTACAGCCATGACGGCACAGGTAATAAGTAAACTTATAACTCTCTGTGACGCTTGTATGGTTTCATGCTTTTGATTAAAAACGTATATGATCTGTTGTAGCAAAGTGTCATGATTGAACTGCCTTTCAGAACTGCTGGCAAGTTACAATGACGAGGACATTTACCTTTTCGACTCCAGCCACAGTGATGGGGCTGATTACCGTAGAAGATACAAGGGTCACCGCAACAATGCTACAGGTACTTGTCTCAAACCTGAATGCTTACATTAGATTTAATTGTGGTATAAGACTTGTGTTTTATTTTGCATGCATGTTATAACCAATATAGATTACGTTTTTGTGAAACCATTTCCCCCCTTTTTTCTCTTTCCATCTGCTATTGGAAAATCCAGTGAAGGGGGTTAACTTTTATGGTCCCTGTAGTGAGTTTGTTGTCAGTGGCAGTGACTGTGGACACATCTACTTGTGGGATAAGAACTCTGCTCGTGTGGTTCAGTTTATGGAGGGAGACCGGGGAGGAGTGGTAAGATCCTGTCACTTGACTAATCTAGACTACTTTTAACTTCTGGATTACAAATTGATAGAAGTGTAGGAGTGTTACCATCCCAAAAATACTTTCTTTCAATGTACAGGTGAACTGTCTGGAGCCACATCCTCATCTTCCAGGTTTAGCCACCAGTGGTTTGGACCATGATGTGAAGCTGTGGGCACCCACTGCTGAGAATCCCACAACACTAAAGGGACTTAAAGAGGTACATTGCTTAGCAAAATACAGGGTGCATAAGTCCGGACACCCCTATGTTAAATTCCCATAGAGGCAGGCAGATTAGTATTTTTAAAGGTCAGGTATTTCATGGATCCAGGATACTATGCATCCTGATAAAGTTCCCTTGGGCTTTGGAATTAAAATAACCCCACATCATCACATACCCTTCACCATACCTAGAGATTGGCATGGGATACTTTCCATAAGATCATCTCTCAATGCAAATCAAACTATTCAAAGCTATTAATGCTAACAGAAATAAAACCATGCCATGTGTGTGTGATGTGTGGCTGTTTTAATTTTTAAATATTTTAATGTTTTTGAAATAACCATTTTCTATTTTAATACTTGTCACGTGATGGCAATGCTGAATTTTCAGCAGATTTTCAGGATTCTTTGAATAAAAAGTTCAAAAGAACAGCATGTGTTTGAAACAGAAATCTTTCGTAACATGTTGAGTCTTTAATGTCTTGAAAATAAACTTAAAAATAGTAATTTAGTTATTTTAAATTGTAATAATGTTCACAATCACAGTATTACTGTTTTACTGTATTTTTTTTATCAAATAAATGCAGCCTTGGTGAGCATAAGAGACTTTCAAAAAACATTTAAAACTCCTTAAAAAGTAGTGTAGCTAATACATATTTTGTTAATTGAACAAAATATAAATGTTTGTCATTTTATTTTGGCTGTTTAGGTAATGAAGAAGAACAAGCGAGAGCGTGATGAAGACAGCGTTCGTCATGGTGACCAGTATGACACACAGCTCCTCTGGTTCCTGATGAGACACATGAGAAACCGAAGACCTCAGCGAGTGAGAATTTGCTCTTCTAAGATATTTTTCATTTCTAATATATTGTCTTATGGGCTTGACTATGTAGTTCATTTCAATATATTTAAGATCTAGTGCCATATACTTTTGTGCAAAGGAACATATTGCTGTATGAAATCAAAATCACACACACTGTTTTTTGTTCACTTCTGCACTTAACATAATTTGGGCAAAATCAAACAAAACTGCAAACCATAAATATAGGGCTGCTCTAATATGTCAAAAATCATAATCAGGATTATTTTGGTCAATATTGAAATCACTATTTTTTTTTAACACAATTGTTGGTGGGTAATATAATCAAAGTCTTATTTCATGATACGAGTAATTTTGAATATCAGTAAAATTTCACAATTATCGATACTTCAGCAAAAACTAATACTAGGTTAACTAATGTATGTAAAAGGTTCTCAAAACAGTTACAGAAGAGAAGTAAACAGTCAGCAATACGCTTGTACGCAATGCGCTTTTAATATCAAGCACATCCTGCAGTTTAGCCAGAGTAGACTGCCTTTTACAACACTCACTTATCCAGGTGATTTGGTTGGAAGTGTACTGGACAATCCAGGTGATTTGGTTGGAAGGAAAGTGTACTGGACAATGCGGCCGGCAGAGGCACAATAATCGTTTTACCTTGATCATCTTATTTTCAAAATCGTTATTTGCAATTAACCGCACAACCCTAATACCTCATAATGGTGAACTTAGCCTCATGCTCCATGATCTGATTTCTTCATAGCTATTCAAAAACTGTACACTGAAAGCTTTCTCAATGTTTTTGCCCCTTTAAGGCCCGGCGAGGGGAGGGAGGAGAGGGGGACACAGACGAATCCTGGAGCTCGCCAGATTCCTCTGATGAAGAAGACGGAGGGCCAGACCACGTGCAGTGCATGTCCTCCTGAGCCACACACCTACACACACACACACTCTTTGCCATATATTTAAGCACATACATACTAGTAACACACTGATACACAAATAGACACTGAAAGGCCAGCAACAAACCCACACACAGCTTTATATACACATACGCAGTGTGAGGGAGAGGGAAACGATTGTCAAAATCTGGCTTAATGCTCCACACACGCATACACAGAGACATTACTAGGGGAAGAACTGATACTGAAATGCATATTTTTTTATACATTTGCAATCACATGCAATTAACCACTCTGATTTTATGCAAACATGGACACAGACACATTTCATTCCCAGTTTTACAGCGTATAACATGGAAGACCACAGCCGATGATCGAGAAATATCGCCTCTACTGTTTTGCTGCCTTAGTTTATCAACAACCAAGAAGCAGCGTTTTGCTGCAGCGGTCGTGAAGCGTAAAAGAGAACATTTCTCATCTGTGCTGTAGAAAACATGTCCACTTTAAGCTTTTCTTTCACAGCGACGTGTTCTGTGCATGACGGGACAGTGCGGACACTCAAAGCCAGTCCTTTTGCAGATTACTGATATGATGAGTGTTACTTATTCAAAAACAGCACCATCCTTCACTCGCCTCATCAATGTCCTCCAGTGTTCTGAACTGCCTCTGTTTCCAAGACTGAGCTGACGTTTGTTATTTTTGGACTGCAATCTTTGTCTTTTTCATTGCATCGATAGACTGTCATCGGCGTCTGGCCGTCCAAACCGGTCTTGTCTTTTTTTCTCTTCTCCTGTGTGTGTGTGTGTTTTCTGAAGCCAGGCGTGGCAAATTTTCTTGAGGTCAATCATGCTACTCTTAGATCTGATTGAAGACAGAAGATGAGCCAGAGCTACTTAATCTGGTTTTAGAGCTGGCTGTTTTTCTCCGTTCCTCTCTCCCATGCTACTGAGTGCACTTTAATCAGGGATCTGCTTTGAGTTTTGAATCTCTAAGATGAGTGTGAGCTTAGGGGGCATGCAATACTTTGATTAAATGTTTATTTAGCTAATTCAGTTGTTTTTGCCCTGAAATTCCCCAAACTTATTGTGGACTTGTAAATTGAATACAGAGATTTGACACCAGCTCTTTGGTTTTTGGTTTTGCACTTGGGTGGAGATGACTTGGAGTTCTTGAAGAAATTTCAAAAGGCTACAGATGTAACACTCCAGGGACTGCTTTCGTCTTCTCAGCCCTGTCCCGTAGAAATTGAGAGCAAAGATGATGACGTGCTCAGATCCAGTGATTTTTTGAATCCTTGTTTCTTCCTCTGTCTTTTGTTTGAATACACATCCTCAAGATCTTTGCCTAACTAGGTGGAAAGGATCTAATGTAGCAGGATGTTCCATGTTTGCCTGAAGAACCCACTAAGCCCTCACAAGCCATTTTTCATAAAAATGGTGGCTATTCTTTTTCAGTATTTGGATTCAGCTGGTTATGAGCAAACATGGATGGACTGTGACCTATTCCAACTTGCATGTTGAAAAGAATTATGGGTCGAGGGCAGGGGATGTAAAGCACTTGTGGGGGTATGCAGGGAGGGGTAAGAAGCTTGAATTACTTTGCCCCCTTTTTCCTTCTTCTTTTGTAAGGGGAATAAAGTCTAAACTTTTCTCTTTTTGTATGAGAAGAATAACTTAAATGACTAGATGTATATACAAATATATAAAGACATTATATATATATATATAAATACATGTAAAAATCGTCATCAACCATTACTCTTTTAAAGAGTGTCTAAATTTAATTGGTATTGATGCAGAGATTTATATTGTATAAGACGAAATACTTTTAAATGAATGAAACGTTGTTTTTTCTTCTTTTTGGATTACAACCCTAATTGTCACTGCAGTTAAAAGCATTTTCTCATTCTCACTTGTCTGCTCAAAATGTCTGTCCTGTCACTGGCATGTATTTTTCTCTTCTTTTTTTTCTTTTTTTCTCTTTTTTTAGGGTTTTCATCTTAGTTATCCCACCGCTGCCTAATGTTGTGTTCTTTCAGTTCGGTTCAGACAACATGTATGATTTGTGCAGTAAAAAAAGAGAAAAATCTGTTCATTTGTTTCTGACCAAGTGCCTTATTATTTCAAGTGCCTTCATTTACTGTAAATACAGGAAGAATTTATTTTCCGTGCAACTAATTTCAGGCCGTCATGCTATTTATATAATTAGTGCTGTTTAATTAGTTGTATGTTTAGTAGCATAGAGACTTGACATAGAGACTATTTGAGCATCATTGATTTCTATTACATAATTTATTTCCTAAAATATAACAAATTTTTATGTGGACAGGCATAACATTTGATTAATTGGCATAAAATCTCAAATGTTTATAAACCATTGATATTATGGTAGCACTTAACAAGTTCTCTTTTTTAATGTAATGCATTAGCATAACATCAACTCAGAATAAGTTTTTTTAAGCATTTATGTTGGTTAAAAAATTACAGTTGTTTACGTTAGATCACAGTTCCTAATGTTAAGGTAACTTTTGATTAAAAAATAAATTAACATTAACTAACTAAAATTAATATATCTTGTAAGTATTGTTCATTGTTTTGTTCTTGTTAACTAATGAAGATAACTCCCTTGGTGTAAAGTGTTACCGTAGCCACGTTTTGGGTGCTTAAACACGCCCCTTTTTTGGGTGCTCACAAGCTTTAGACACATATGGGGTCCAATATTAGCTTTGCCAATGCCTGATACATTATAATAATCTAGAATATTGTGATCTGAGCATGTGATATACAAAGGCTAACGTGGATGTAGCTATAAATTAACACTGATCTCTCACCAAGACACTTGCCCTGTTCTCTTCACACTCACATCACAATGCTGTCTCCTATGATGACTGTTGTTTTGTCTAACCCTCGCCGCTGCACTCTTGGCTGCATTGCAGACTCATTATTGTATGGCTGAGGTTCGTCATAGGAGTAAACATTTAAGCTATCATTTCCTCAGTGTCCGAACTGCCATTGCGATCCATTTCTTTTCTATTATTTACTTTGACCGCGGTACTTCCCATTACGTCACTTCCGTTTGGGGGGGTTTTCAGCATGGTTTTCAGATGTGGACGTAACATTTTCTCACAAAAACGACTCCAGAAGCCAAACAGCGTTTTTTAAACTTAAATCTAAATTTAAAAAGCCCAACTACTAATTCCAGACATTCACAAAAAACCCTGAAATATTAAGATGATAAGAAATAAGGTGAGTGTGAGAGAGAATGTGACTGAATGTGTGAATAGCGAGCAATGCGACTCGAAAAGGGTCATGATTCTTTCAAAATACAAGCCCTTACTAATTTGCTATTTGGCGCAACTGCGCTTAAAAACGCAACTTATAGCGTTTATTGATATTTTATGATGTTATGAACACTGCAGGTCAGGGTTACGGAGTTTAGACGAGAAGAAGGCCATGTATAAAAAATAAAACATATGACTTTAAATTTGAAAAACGAGTGGCCAGCTTTATGTCGTAACAGATTGACTGCTCGCGGCGAATTCACAGTTGTTGCTGTTTTGCAGTCATTGTAAGATTAACGTTAGTCCTTCTTTAATAACACGTTTTAAACGCATGGTGAGTAAATTATAGTTTTTATTTTAAATCAACGATGACATTTGCATATTTTTCGTGCATTTGCAGAGATATCCGCTTTACCTCCGGTCTATGATCGAGGCCCTGTTTGTCCCCTTTGTCTAACGTTACTTCGAGGATTTTCTATGACATTTCATGAATTTGATTATTTGCCACGTGTGTTGAGTCATAATGCCTTGCATCAATAAGTTAATCAAATAAACCATACCGCGTTCGTGAGTGTTAAATGGGAATATTCAAACTCGATTGTGTGAATGAATGAATGAATGAATGAATGAGGCATTTATATAGCGCTTTACAGTCATGCCAGGGGTCTCTCCTTAACTACCACCTGGATGATGCGACGGCAGCCACATGACAACGGCGCCCGTGCGCTTACCACACACCTGCTGCTTATGTGTGGAGTGGAGAGAGGTTGATAAGAACTCAAATTGCAGCTCTCTGGTCGCGCTGGGGTATTTCAGGTCAAAGTTAATGATGTTTATCATCGCGGGAGTCTGCATCACATTTTGTAAATGATGAAGATGAAACCAAATGTTTGCTATAGCCGTTTCATCAGATACTTTTTTCTTTACGTTTTCCACCCATATCCCCTCCCATCCCCTTGAATTTTATTCCACTAATAGAATGTTTGCCTAATGACCATCATATTTTGCATACTGAATTCTGATTGGTCATCTTTCTTATGCATATTTAAACACTGAACCTAGCTAGATCTATTTAAAAGAATTTCAAATGTTGATCAAAATAAATCTAACCTTGTCCAGATGTAATGAGATGTGTTTTTGTTCTCTCAGCATTTCTGTTAGGAGCTGAGGGCTGCTCACTGATTGCGGTGTTGGAATTGTTGCTTTGGCTGAGAGCAATCTGCACTTTTGGCTATTCCCGTTGATAAACAGACGTACTGCCCTAGCCTGCAGTAACACCATGGAGTGAGTCACAATCATTAACAGTTTCTTTCAATGTCTAATATAATATATGGTTTCTATATATGAATTATTGGGGAATAGTATTGTACTGTTTGGGTTTATAATCTAGTGAGTGAGATCATCCACAAAATAGCAAATGCATACCTCATCAAGTAGCACAAAAAAAATAAATACTGTACTAGATATCATAAAAGTAGGATGGGCTCAAAGTTTTGCAAGCTTTTCCCCTAAAAACATATTAATTCCTTCCTTATGTCTCTTTTCACTGCCCTAGTCGTTCTCCCAGCGCTAGTCAGCTGATTGCCAGCAACGTCACAAATAAGACAGACCCACGGTCGCTGAACTCAAGAGTCTTCATTGGAAACCTAAACACTATGCTGGTTACCAAGGCAGATGTTGAAGCTATTTTTAGTAAATACGGCAAGATTGTTGGCTGCTCTGTGCACAAGGGTTACGCTTTTGTCCAGTACGTCAATGAGAGAACCGCGCGAGCGGCTGTTGCAGGAGAGGACGGCCGGATGATCGTTGGACAGGTGCTTGGTAAGGACATAAATCAATCAGAGACTATCTTATTATTTAATCGTCTTGTTTTTTTATTTATTAAACAATTGTCCTGTCTTTCAATCAGATATTAACTTGGCAGGAGAACCCAAACCTCACAGGCCAAACACGTCAAAGCGATCAGCTGGAGACATGTACAGGTAAATAATACATTTGTTTTTATTTTTTATATTCACCCATTTTAATGTTTCATTCCAATAAGCCAGTGTTGCTGTTGTTAAAATCTCTTTTTTTTTTTTTCTAAAGTCTCTCCAGCAGTAGTTCTGGTTTTGAGGTTGATTATGATTTCCAGAGAGACTACTTTGACAGGTAAGATCTGCAGTTGTTGATGTGTCTTACAAACATTTTGCCAGTGGGTGTGTATGTATATAAATATGTGTGCACTTTTTGCTGACGCCTCAATCTCTTTGTGTTGTACAGAATGTATTCATATCCTTCCCGTGTGCCCCCGCCACCACCACCACCTCTGTCACGGGCTGTGATCCCTTCCAAACGTCCACGGGTCAGTATGAGTGGGGGAACCAGTCGCCGCACCAAGTCCAGTTTCTCAACTGCTTCCAAGAGCAGCCAGCGGACATCCTCTCGAGCCCGTCAGTGCTTTTTTTCTTTATTTTTACTCTAGAGAGGTTTGTTTGAACGGTTAGTTCACCCAAAAATTTAAATTCTGTCATTAATTACTCACCCTCGTGTCATTCCAAACCTGTAAGACTTTAGTTCATCTTTGGAACAGAAATAAAGTGTCACAATAAAATGTCCCTCCATTGGCAGCTATGCAACTGACACTTCAAAAGTTCATAAAGAGATCGTAAAAACTAATCCATGTGAATTGAGTGGTTTAGTTCAAATTTTCTGAAGAGACATGGTCGTTTTATATGCTGATCAGATTTAATTTAGGCTTTATTCATATAAAATCATTCATCAACTCGCACATCAGTTGTGGTAAACGAAAGCTCAAGCACGTTCTATTGAAGTGTGAGAACCAACGAGGTTCATTCTCGTGTTATGCAGCAAGTTTGAGCTTCCACAAGAGGTTTGTTCTCACACGTCAAGACGGTTCGTTTAAGCTTCTGTTTATGTTTGCTGATCAATGTCTATACTTGAATAAAAGCCTAAATTGAATAATAAATTTAATAAAAGCTTCAAAATGGTAGCTGTCAATGGAGAGTACACAGCTGGCTCGGGATGAACAAAAGTCTTACGGGTTGGAACAAAACAAGGGTGAGTAAATGATGGGTAAACTAACCATTTAATCAACCAGTGACAAATATGTTAAATACATTTTGTTTTTATTATTATTTATTTATTTTTGGTTAGCATTGCATTTTTTACTTTTTAAACTTTTTTACAGCCTGACTTTACTCATTTTACATTTTTGACCTTGGTTGGCTTGTCAATTGGTACATGCATTCAGGGAATTCTTTTTTCTTTCAGTAAAAGCAGATGACCTCCAAACAATTAAGAGAGAGCTTTCTCAAATCAAACACAAGGTTGACTATCTGCTGGAGAGTCTGGACAGGATGGAGAAGGACCACAGCAAGAAATCCGGTAAGCGTTCACGGTTTCCACCTGAGTTTCTGCAGCAGGTTCACAATTTAGTCGGTCTCAGTTTTTTTCTGTTTCTTCATGTAATCACAGACAGACTCTGGTGAGATCTGATATCTGTGTGGAGCATATTGGCTGTTGTCAGACTACTTGTGCATACAAAAATCTCACTGGATTACTGATATTGATATTTCACTGGATAACTGATATTTCCTTCACTCACATTACAGTAAAATATATAAATAACTGGCTTACAACCATTTTTGGGGGGTGTAAATACTAGCATACCTAAGATGTTTGCACAGCAGTGTATATATGTACTGTATGTGCGGTTATATTTATTTATGCATGTTTTTTTTTTTTTTTTACATCAGAGGGGAAGAGTGTGAAGGCAGAAGTGGGTGAGGCTTCCTCCCTGCAGCATTCCAGCAAGAAAGACAG